TGCCTCAAAACGGGAATGGTGCTGAGAAACTATTCATGCTCCAGAGCTCACTGTGGGATCAGGAAGCACCCAGATCCTCTCCGACCCCCTTCTGCTTTCGTCGCTCTCTCTCTTCTCAGGGCACTCCTTCTGTGAGTCATAGGCAACAAAATCCTTGTCTTTCAAGGAACCTGACCTGAGTTGCCTGTTGTCATTTTAGAAATGGTGTTTGTAATGAAATTACTAGAGTGCTGTTAGTGGGAACTTAAACAAGAGTATTTGGGTAACTGCAGAAACAAGACATATCAGCCATAGGCTGCCTAATAATGATATTTTGGTCAGCAATGAACCACAGGTACAATGCTGGTCACAGACCAGCTAGGTCGTGCACTTACACTCTGTGACATTTATACAATGACCACATCACCTAACGATACAGTTCTCAGAACATATGCCTGTCTTTAAGCAGCAATGGCTGTCTTTGTAAAACAGAGTCATCCTTCAAACAGTGCCCTGCTCTGACTCTCTTTCCTTGACACATTCATTTAACAAATATTATTGAGTTAATCAGTGAACCTGATGGCTCCAGAGCTCACCGTGGGATCAGGAAGAACCCAGATCCTCTCCGACCCCCTTCTGCTTTCGTCGCTCTCTCTCTTCTCAGGGCACTCCTTCTGTGAGTCATAGGCAACAAAATCCTTGTCTTTCAAGGAACCTGACCTGAGTTGCCTGTTGTCATTTTAGAAATGGTGTTTGTAATGAAATTACTAGAGTGCTGTTAGTGGGAACTTAAACAAGAGTATTTGGGTAACTGCAGAAACAAGACATATCAGCCATAGGCTGCCTAATAATGATATTTTGGTCAGCAATGAACCACAGGTACAATGCTGGTCACAGACCAGCTAGGTCGGTCTAAGTGCACTCTGTGATGTTTATACAATGAACACATCACCTAACGATACAGTTCTCAGAACATACGCCTGTCTTTAAGCAGCGATGGCTGTCTTTGTAAAACAGAGTCATCCTTCAAACAGTGCCCTGTTCTGACTCTCTTTCCTTGACACATTCATTTAACAAATATTATTGAGTTAATCAGTGAACCTGATCTTCTGCGCGGTTATGGGCATACCGAGATAACGCAGTCAAGGAACTCGTGGGAAAGCTGGGGACAAAACATGGACATCTGATTGCCCGGCATGCTGAGAATTACAAATAAAAGGATGATAACGTTAGGTACAATGGAACGGAAATTTGAAGACAGGAAGCAATCAGATGACTTAGCACCCACAATGGGAAGCTTTTCCATGAGTAGATCTTAAGTTATCTCCAAATTACTGTATTTCTAATGCTTTACTTTTTGACAGTTGGCCGATTTGTGCAGTTGTTTTTCTCTAACCAGACATTGAGACATGTAAGTTTCCTCTCACGGATAACTGTTAGTAACTTCAGAAGCAACTAAATAGAATGTTTAAAATGTACCTCGAAGATGTTCATTACAGTATTGTTTATAACACTGAAAAGTTGGAAATGATGCAAACTCAGGTTAAATACATTATGACATGTGAACCATAGATTACCATGCAACCATCAGGGGAACAACGAAGTTCCAAAGGTTTGATGAGTTGAAAGATGTTCTCTGTAGGACAAGTGGGAAAAATAAAGCTTTCAAAATAACACAGGCATGCCTATTGTAGGTCACCTGCAGGGCAGTTTCCTATGTGGGCATGAGACATCTAGCTCTTCTGTGTCATAATTTTCCCTCTACCTATGGGCATATGTGACTACTAGATTATTACTATAATCAGTGTGTGTGTGTGTGTGTGTGTGTTTAAATTTAATTTTATTTCAGAGAGGGAGAGGGAGATTCTCAACATTAATGATGAGAATCATTGATCGGCTGCCTCCTGCACACCCCTTATTGGGGATCAAGCCCGTAACCCGGGCATGTACCCTTGACTGGAGTTGAACCCGGGACCCTTCAGTTCACAGGCCGACACTCTATCCACTGAGCCAGACCAGCTAGGGCTATAATCAAGGATTATAAGCAAGGATTGCCAAGGACACAACCTGGTCATGTGCCCTGACCAGGAATCGAACTGTGACCCTTCTGGTTCATAGGTCGATGCTCAACCACTAAGCCACACCAGCCAGGGAAGTGTATTTTTAATGGTTAATATTTTTCTGGAACTTGATTTCGAAAATATTATTGATGAGTTGCTTCCAACCAAACCAAGAAGTCAAATTTTAATAAATTCTAGTTTGAAGGATAAATAAAAAATTTAAATTTTGAATAATGTTTTATATTCTAATATCCTTTTCAGTTTTTCAATTTTTTTTCAACTATTTTGCTATTCAGGAGGGAGAGGCATATTGTAGGTGGTCAAAAAATATCACTGGAGAGAATGGGTCACTATTTTTTGGACACTGTAAATTCTTTGCATCACAGGAGGGCAAAGTTATTTCATATTTATGGAATTTGAGGACCATGCAGTTTTTATTCTGAGTCTCTTCTCCCTCTAGTGGAGGCAAGTGAGACCACAGGGGAAGGGAACTCACCAAGTGTAGCTTGATGTTACAGTAAGAAAAATTCCCACAGTGGAGGTCACAGCTTTATTCAATTACACAGGAAATACAGGGTTCCCGAGGGCAACTGTTTAGAGCAACACGTAACACGGGTAGAGACAAAGCCTTGTGCGAGGCTCCTGGCAGAAGGAACTTTGTTCAAGCATACAGATTGACACATCCTGGAGCTAAGAGGAAATGAAGGCTCAAACCCTTCTTTGTACTCAAATCGCTGCAATCAAATGCAAAATGTTGACAGTCCGTTCGTTGTCATCCGTTAGCAATTGCCACAGAAATGCTTACTAGCAAACCACTCCTGAAACTCTGCCTTAAAACCTTGATACTTGATTGTTGATCCTGAGTCCATGGGTGGGCAGGTGCTGATTCGGCCGGCTCAGTCCTGCGACTAGTCAGCTACAAGCCGGCTAGGTGGCTGGGTAAGGACAGTCTCAGGTGCCTAATGGGATGGCTGAGCCCTCCTCCACTTGTTTTTGTGTTGTTGTTTTTTAAAATCTTTATTGATGGATCCTCCATTTGTTTTTCGCACGCCTCCAGCAGGTTAGCCTGGGCGCGTTCTCATGGAGGCAGGAGTGCAAAAGCAAGCAAGGTCAGTCATGTAAAGGGCAAGGAGGAATGCACACCCAGTGTTAAAACCTCTCTTGGACTCCTGTTTGCTAAAACAGCATCGCCCCAAGCAAGTTTCAAGGCCAAGCCAGAGTCAGAGCAGGGAGTGGTTACAGTTATGGGGAAAGGGGTAGGGAGAGATGGAGACCATCCGTTAATGCCACTGACGCACTCACCCTACCACAGTTGGCTACAGTTAAGAATCCATGCCATTTCTTGCTTCAATATCCCTTACAACTATCCCCTCTGCACTGAACACTCGGGACAAGCCAAGCATTAAAGGCCAACCTATCATAAATGACCAGCTGTCTCAGCTCCCCTCTCAAGCTGTCAGTGCCACAAATAATGAAGACTGAGCCTCCATCAAGTTTCATGATCAGATTGTCTTATACATGATCACTACTGAACTAATTCAATCCTAAATAGTAAGGTGACTCAAAGTAAATATTTAATCTTTCTCTGCATCCCCAAACTAAGAATTTATAGGATCAAAGGAAGAGAAGGAGAGGGACAAGGGGTTGGGAAGAAGAACTCCATGGTCAAGGGCTCGAAACCCAGCTCAGCCACCTGTGGCTGTGTGATGCTGAGGAAGTTACTTAACCTCTCAGAGTCTCGGGTTCCTTGTCTTCAAAATGGAGAGCAATCATTTATTCATCCTATGTTTATGGAGACTCTACTAAATATAGTCCTCTGTACTCACGGATCTATGTTGGAAACACCCTAGAAAAAGAAAAATTCTAATACAGGGCTCAAAAGCAGGGAGCCTTAGGGGACACACAGAGGTGACATCGAATCCTACTTCAGATTCAGCGCATGCTTCCTGGTGGAAGTGATGACTAAGCTGAGACTCAAACTGAGGGCAGAAATTTGTCAAATTTTCAGGAAAGGTGTCCTATGAAGAGGGAGTGGCAGGTAGAAGTTCTAAACTTAAGATGTTTCCTTTCTGGCTAACATCATGGCAAGCCGAAGAATATTCTAGCATACTCTAGAATATTCATTCAGGGATACAGCACACATTCCCTGGGGATCTCGGTAAAATTCAAGTTCTGGTTGTGCAGATCTGGGGTAGGGTCTGAGATCCTGCATTTCCAATGAGGTGATGATGACCCATGGACCACCCTTTGAGTAGGGAGGTACTGGAGAGGCCACTGAAGGGAGGATTTCTACAGTTAAAATTTTCATCTCCTTCTCTCCCTGGCACTTCAGGCTTTATGGGGGAGCAAGGTGGGACAGTGATACCTTTGTGAGCAGTATAAGTCCTGGCCAACTCAGAAAAAAGTTCCTGGAAGGAAGGGAAATGGTGGTTCCCTAAAAGGTCCCAGGAAACCAAAACACTTTCCAAAGGCTGCTGTCATCAAGTTTCAACCCTTCACGAGATGGTAGAGTCCTGCTCCACCAACCACTCCTACTTACCTACATAACTCTCTAGTGTTTCTGTCAAAGTAGCCTATATGTCTATGTGCTTTGTTTGCCTCCCTGGGACTGTCATTACAGTTTTACGGACTATTTCTTTGAAAGTAGGAATAGTGTTTGTCAAAGGGTAAGCCAGTCACGTGGCAAATCCTTTACTGAGCATTGTGCTGTGTCAGGCACGTGGTAGGTGCTAGAGGGGTACGGTTGGAGCCACACAACAATGAACATAAGAAAAAACCAAAATGGCAGCCAGATTATCTTGCTCACGCCATTGCATTATCTGTTATTTTCACAAAACTCTGGAAAGGCAAAGATTTGCAGGACACAGAGGGTGAGATTGTCATCTGGAATGGAAACTCATTTCACACCAGAACACAAAATAATGGGGAGACTGTCCACCCATCTGTGTTCTGCGCGGAAAGGCAAAGATTTGCAGGACACAGAGGGTGAAATTGTCATCTGGAATGGAAACTCTCATTTCCCACCAGAACACAGAATGATGGGGAGACTGCCCACCCATCTGTGCTCTGTGTTGCCCAGGATATTCTTGGGCTGGTGTGATCTTGTATTTCCACATTAAGCCAGGAAGAGAAGATTTCAGGACAGGCTCCTGTAGACACTTGCTTTTCTCCAATGTTGCTCCATACCGTATTGGAAAAGCAAGAAAAGGCTTTAAACCTGTGAAAAGAAGTCAGAATCAGAAGCAGAATTCATAAAAATATAATTCCAGGG